ATTTCATAATTGCCATTTCGCAGCGTTGATATAAACATACCCACAGTCTGAAGTTCGGAGAATTCAGCAGCTCTAATGTTGATATCACTTTCCACTAGTCGTTGCTGTCCCATTATCTTCTTGAAGAGACACAGAGGAACACATGTAACATCCGCCTGGGAGTCGAGCTTGAACTTCAGCTGTTTCCCGTTCACTTGGATTTCTGCTGTCCATCGCCTCCTGCACTCGCCTTCATCATCATCGAGATTAGATGAATCCTCCACAGCTGAGACCTCCAGGAGAAAACCAATTTCTTCATCAAGTTCAGAAACTGCTTTGACTTCCGCAGTCTTCGCCTGCTTATCTGGGCAGCAATTTGCAAAATGGCCAGTTTTTGAACACAGGTTACATTTTTGTCCTTCAGCACGGCAAGCCTGTCCTTCCTTGTGGGTGAAACCTCCGCACTTTGGACATCGTGATCTTGTTTTGGCTGACTTCTCCTTCTTCCTCGAAGGCTGCTGTTGTTGTTTCGGTGATTGTTTCTTCGAGTTGAACTTCACCTGATTGACCTTTTGGCTTGTTGAGGGACGCTGCAGGTCGACTTGCTGCTGTCGAACTGCTTCCTGCTGTCGAACCATTTTCACCGCCTTTTCCAAAGTCAGTTCGCTGTCCAACTGCATTCTTTCAGATAAAGCTTTGTCCCTCACTCCAACCACAATTCGGTCACGGATCAACTGCTCATGAAGACCCTCAAATTCGCAACTATCAGCCAATTTGTACAATAAAGTGATGAATTCGTCCACTGGCTCCCGATCCTCTTGGATTCTTGAATTAAACTTCGCACGTTCGTAGATAATATTCTTTCTGACACAGAAGTGGCTGTCGAACGCCTTGAGGACGGAATCAATTTTCGTTGCCTCTTCCTCCTTTTCGAACTTGAAGGTCCTGAATATATCATCCGCGCGGTCACCCATCAAGTACATGAACAAATCGATCTTGTCCGCCTCCTCTTTCTTCTTCATTCCACTGACCACGAGGTATCGTTCGAATCTCTTCCTCCATTTGGGCCATTCGTTGGGAGTCGAGAAGTCGAAAGTTTCTGGAGGTTGAATCTGAGCCATGTTGAATTATCTTCCAAGGTACGCAAAAATCGATATTTTGCAATATACGGGTTCGTATTTTATCCAGTTATCGCTGCCACCATGTTTTAATGTCCATTCATACAGAGGGCAAAACAACAACTGACTCACCCGTGCAGCCGAGGTCACGCTCCGCTGCGTCACGTGGGGAAACATAGGTACATGTTTTCTTACATGTTCTCAGCACAAGGATAAAAAGAAAAGATAAATATAAATTTGCATATATAATAATAATAAAATGCATATAATGGAACCTCAAAGTTCAGTGTTTCTTTGTCTGTGTTAGTTCAATTATTCTTCTTTGAAGCTCGGACATTTAGAATAGAGGATAAAAAGAAAAGATAAATATAAATTTGCATATATAATAATAATAAAATACATACAATGGAACCTGAAAGTTCAGTGTTTCCTTGTCTGTGTTAGTTCAATTCTTTGAAGTTCGGACATTTAGAATAGAATATGTTTAAATCCAAACGTTTTCTCTATTGGATAAGGAATTGATGAATTACTTGTAACTCGGTTATTACATATTGGCAAATGTAAACGTTTATAGATATTAATATCGTCGCGAGGAATTTGATATATGGAAATAAAGGTCACCTCTTCTATCTTTTAACCGTCTCCGTAAACTAGCGGAATATGGTCGGTGACAAAGCCACAACACCAGATTTGACGAAGGCCATTATACCGAAACCATTGTCCCCAGGTGTGCGTTCTGAATTTACCAAAGCTGATGTTGTGGCTCTGTTTCCGACCTCAATTCGCGCGTTTGCTTAGATATTCAATAGATGACGCTTGGTTTTAGAGTCTATTTTGACGGGAGAGGTAACCTTTAATTATATAAGTGTTTATAATTATTTTACTCTCTTTTTCTCTTATTTTTCAGCAGAAGACATATAAAGCTGGTCAACCGGTCGCGAAGTTTATTTTCATACTTATCGAAGCCATAATTCCCTCTTCACAGAATTCTTAGCGGGGATTTCTTTAGAAATTTTGTTAAATTAGAGAAAGAAGTGAAAGATTGGAGATAAGGTATTTAGAATTTTAGAAAATATAAAACTACAATTTTATTAGACATTAATTTCTATTTATCTAAAATAAAGAGTCTTTAAAAATGATTTTAAAAGATCAATATTGGACTTGCAAAAGTCTAACCCCACAAGCGAGTGCAAGTAACCAAACGGGGCTCATTTGTAAGTGCAAAGTCGAACTGCTTTTCACATGTGTAGACATGTGGTGCATTTACAGCAAAATCAGTCGCCAACTTCTACCCACCATGATTATCATGGCCTGTACCACGTGTATTAGGGATAAGCAAAATATTTAGATGAAAAAATTGCCACCTTTTAAAAAATATTAGTCAAATTTGAAAAATCAGTTATATCCATAGAAAAAAAGGCTATATTTAGATATTAAAGAGAGAGGGAGGGGGGGGGGGGATATCATATTAAAGAAAAAATTATATTAAGAAATGAGAGCTACAAGTATATTGTATACAGTAAATTCTCCTATAACGCGATTAATGTGTTCCGTGTTGTATGAAATCGCGTTATAGGAATTCGCGTTGTACGAAATAAAACTTGTATAACGCGAATGTTGTTAGGGTAAATTGTTTTATTTTATAATGCGTTATACGAAAATTCGCGTTGTACGAAATCGCGTTGTAAAAACTCGCGTTATAGGAGAGTCTACTGTATATAAAAAAAAAAGACTCTAGAGCAGATGTGATATCCGTAAAAAAAGAGCCCAACACACTTGTGTAGTTAGTCAGCATACAAAGAACAATCGAGAGAGAATCGCAAACAAAACGATCTTCCACATCAAGGAATGACCATGGTTTATGTTAGGTTACGTTAATTATGAGAAGGTTCCTTTATAATAGCTCCGTCCGTTGTTCTTTGCTCCTGAAAGATAGAGGAGGGTCTTTGTCTGTCAATACATACTTGGATAAGTACACGCGCTCGTCTTTCTTCACCTCTGAATCACATTACGTGTTGCCTGCTATCTTACATTGAAGTACACGTATACATTACGTTAAACGTAATCTCTCTTTGTATACTTCAAAGCTTTCGAGTTGATGCCCTTCCTCAAATGAACATTATTATTATTGTTAGGTAAAGAAAAAATAAAGACATTTAAATAGATTGGGAGATGAATGAAGCTTGTTGAAGTATATCAGAAAAGATAAAATAATTGGATGGGATATTACACTCATGGACAAAACTTAAGGAAGTTGTAACTTTTTAGCATGTATATCGGGATTCAGACAATAACTCTGAAAGATATTACAGTGAACTTTATTGAAGACATACGAGATAACCAAGTGTGAACAAAATTGCCTTTGTCTCCTTCCAAAAAACAGAAGATCGGAGATATCAAAGATTTTACACTTCCTTAAGTTTTTTCCATGAATGTATATATTGGGAAGAAATGGATTAATAAAGAAAAATACTGGAGATGGAAAGAGAAATCGGGAAAGAAAAGTGTATGATAGGTAAATAAGAAATGGGAATAGAGTTCAAGTTAGAATATCTTTTTGAAAAGCCACTGGAGTTCAGGACTTCTTTAACAATTTCGCAAACAACGATATATATTTTATACTTCAATGATAATATGTTGAACATAAATTTGTAATATAATACAATATAATGCGGCTTATAATTTTAGAAGTTCCCAACCCTGGACACTTTTATTTTCCCGTTTATCATTACTCTTCACAATTCACCCTTTCATACCTCATCCAAAAGGTTAGAAATAATCGTTATTTCTCCTTGAAATAAATTTTGATTTTTCGTTGAAAAGAATCACATGCGGGATAGTATTCCAAATGTCGTTTTACAACGATATATGTATTCAATTCTATATACAGAGTTACGAGCGTCATGGCCTCTGTCACGGTTTGCCGGCGCCCTCCTATTGGTCGGCTACGATCACGCCACCTTTGCCCCCCCCCCCCCATCATTTGGTGCCGCCAATGCGCGAGACACTTCTGTCACCGTTTGCTTTTGGTTCAGTGGTAGAATGCTCGCCTGCCACGCGGACGCCCCGGGTTCGATTCCCGGCTGATGCATTTTTTTTTTTTACAATTTTAAAAACTCATTTATAATAGTGGCGGGCGCCCCGGGTTCGATTATATATTATACAAGAATGACATCCACGGCGCCAATATATAATTGTAACGAATAGTATTTTAATAAAAGCATTTAATCGGGTAAACCCCGGGCGTTGCCCGGGTCATTCGGCTAGTATAATCTAAACCAGAGAATGTAGATATGTAAATAGGTACAATTTGAATTCAACTCGTGTATATAAATAACTTAAATAGGTTAGTCGATTGGTTCTTTTCTGTCACATGATCTTAATCAGCCAATCAGTGGTTACAAAGATAATATACAAACGTGGGTTTGGATCACGTTTTTTTTTTTGTCAATTTTATTTGTACTTTAAAAAGAAACCTTTGTTCAAAGCTGTATTTATGAATTATGTTGTTATTACTATTTTTTAATAATTTGTATAGTAAGGATCTGACAATTGATTTCCTTTTTTTATAAAGAGGTCAATTTTAGCGCCGTACAAATAGATGAATGTTATTTCACCGTCACTATTTCACAAATATATGATTAATTAGTTTTTTTAATGAGAAAATCAAGTAACATTTTTAAGCTTAATTATTTAGGATATTTTCGTAGAATGTATATATGATGTTCTATTATATATTTATATATATTCTAATAAAATTAATATATATATATTTTGTTAAATAAATTTATATAATAATTAATATATAGTTATCAGCGTCATAATCAATTCTATCTTAATCAATTCTGTCACAGTTTGCTTTTGTGAATGGAATGAATACCCAAATATGGCCATTTCTCATAACCATCGGTGGTTCAGTGGTAGAATGCTTGCCTGCCACTCAGGCGGCCAGGGTTCGATTCCCGGCCGATGTATTTTTTTAATTTTTTTTTTTACAATTTTTAAAACTCATTTATATATTATACAAGAATGACATCCACGGCACCAATTTATAATTGTAACGAATAGTATTTGAATAAAAGCATTTAATCGGGTAAAACCCGGGCGTTGCCCGGGTCATTCGGCTAGTTCGGTTATAAAAGTGATTTATATAATGTCACGTAAAGAATGAGAAAAGACAAACGTTAAGTTGACAAAATCACTTATTCACATCCCAGAACAAAGAGCCATGAGAGAAATATTCATGGACAAACTTAAGGAAGTTGTACCTTTTAACATGTATATCGGGATTCAGACAATAACTCTGAAAGATATTACAATGTCCTTTATTGAAGACACACGACATAACTAAGTGTGAACAAAATTGCCTCTTTCTTCTTAAAAAAATAAAACGAAGACCGGCGGCAGCAAAGAGTTTCCACTTAAGTTTTGTTCATGTGTGTGTATATGTTGAGTATAACTAAATTTTAAGAAATTGATACAGTAAAATTTCCACGTAAGGACACACACCTACTAGTGAACAACTCTCTACAAAGAACAAATTTCAATCGTCAACATTAGTATTTTTAACAAATTAGCCCTTCACTGGTACATCTCTCTTTAGAAGACACTCTGCAACTAATTGTTGTCCTATACAGACAGAAGAGAAAGGTTCTACTGTAAAATATGTTAATAAATATTTAATGATATAAGTTCATTAAAATTTTACATAAATAAATTTACTGGCAATGCGCTTCTTTTAAATATCAACAAATATCATCTCTACAGACCTTACTGCAATGATATGAGTTATTGAATGAGAGGACTTGACTCATTCAATAAGTCATATCATTGCAGTAAGGTCTGTAGAGATAATATTTGTTGATATTTAAAAGAAGCGCATTGACAGTAAATTTATTTGTGTAAAATATTAACGATATATGGCAATTAAATTTAATTTACTAATATAGTTCATTTCTATGCAAGCTGTGACTCACATATTACAGATCTTGTTGTTACTGACGTGTTTCTGTCAAGAAGTCTCTCGGCGTTTTGGTCATCTGTAGCGCTCTCCATTCTTTTATCTTTGGTCATTAGGAGTTGCTTTGTCGTCGTAGATTTGACAGCAAATGTCTTCTTTTTAGATGATAGTCACGGCTTTGTCACAGAAACAATTATACACCGGTACAGTAAGGAGGGATATGCGTGCGCCATGCGTGATACTTGCAAATAATTCAGGATTTACTTGGATTATTCAGTTGCGGTTTATATATTCTGTCGACTGAGCCATGTTACAAGGAGAAATACTTTTTCAATGATCCATATAGCCAAAACATAAGAGAGAGGCTTCCAGAAAAACCAAGAAATGGGTATTTAAGGACAAATTAAATTTTTATTGCCCTTTATCGTTAAAATTTTACACAAATAAATTTACTGGCAATGCGTTTCTTTTTAAATCTCTACAGACCTTACTGCAATGATATGATTTAATGAATGAGAGGGCTTGGCTCATCAGTAGTGAACCCTCTCAGCGGTTTCGCCAAATTAATCTCTAGACCGCTCTACTATTGTATTGGACTGGTTTTGTTATATACCCTGCATTTTCTATGGAAGGCAGCTAAATGGTGTTTAGTGAACTATGGACATAAGCTTATAGGTCTGTAGAGGCACATACATATAAATTTCAAGGTATTGCATCGAGCAAAGCTCTTCCGCGCAAAACATGTTTTCATGATGAGCCAAGCCCTCTCATTCATTAAATCATATCATTGCAGTAAGGTCTGTAGAGATTTAAAAAAGAAACGCATTGCCAGTAAATTTATTTGTGTAAAATTTAAGGACAAATTTGCGTAAATACGCTTAGCACATGAAAAAACGAATGAAAAAATAAAAGATAAAAAGATCAGGTGTTGAAATTAATATTAAAAATGGCATATCCTGACTAGGAGCACATGTGCTTTACAGAAGGCAGAGCGCCATCTGGTGGAACAGAAATCAACTAAACATTGATTTAGCCTGTTCCCTGATATTTGGCCAACCCAATTTCTTGATAAATCAAGAAACGTGTAGCACGTAAAGCACATGTGCTCCTAGTCAGGATATGCCATTTTTAATATATATATACAAAGTCTTTATTGGTAGCGTCCACCGCGGGAAAGACTCCACTACTAATGAACTGCAAGATTTCTTTCCCACAGAGTGGGCAGGTCGATGTCTGGCTTTCCCCAACTCAAGACCAAGATGGTACTTCTAGATGTTAGCCTTCGCCATACTGCTCAGTTGTATCGGTATTGAGGCCGAGAGAGAGAGAGAGGAAGAAAGAGAACAAACAATCTATATATTGAGATTAACATTTTTTAATTAAAAAGACATATATTGGATCAAAATATCATTTATTTTACTAATATTTCAGTTGGCTGAACGCCAACCTTTATCAAGGTGTTATAACATTTTAAAGTGTGTCAACAACAAACTAAGCGCCACATAAGATAAACATATACGAGCATACGCTCGTATGCAAAAATAATGATCATATTCTTTTGGTGTCGTACTGAAATAAACAGGTTAGTATTATTCGGTGCCCAAATTATATTATCCATTAAGTAGTTTATATATACGAACTTATTTATGACAACACTTTCAGTGTATTTATAGGAAGGTGTAAACTAGGGTAGAATCAAATTTACTTCATTTTTGAGACACCTATAAAAAGAACTTAATCATAACGGTCACCTTCTTTCATGACGGGTTCTTAAATTATTAGAAAGAGTTAAAATCAAAGGAAAAAATTGATCCAGGTGCTAAATTATTATTATTTTTTTACTTATCCTTTTAGTCTAAATTACGACAAGATCTTGGAGGTTGTGCTCATAAAGAAGCTCAAGAACTCTTCTTGGTTCTCTGTACAGGGATCTCTTGTCCTTTCCAATACAATTTAGTATATGTTGGGGAGAGTGGCCTCTTCGGATTTGCACCTAGTACACATGGGGGAGCTTTTGGCTCCCTCTTTATAGACTAGAGGGCGCAGGTAACCAGATTTCCATCTGGCCAACTGTGTCGATTCCCTTCTGACCGTGCATGTTAAAGTAGAAAATGCTTCACCGCCATCTATCGGGAAAAATACTAACTGCCCATCATTAAAAATATATCTTTCTTTATATACAAGAGTCAATGTCTGTTTCGCAATAAACTCAAAAACTACTGAACCAATTGGTACCAAATTTTGCATGTCGCATTTTATAAACATGAGGAATTTTTTCGGCTACATTTTGATTAGTATTTTTGGCTATTTATTTTTTCATTAGAAGAATTTTTTTTACGCGGAGTAAATACGAGGCGAAGTAACAACACCAAGCCAATTAAGCGACCAATGAGAGTTCTGCATATTTTTTTTTCACTTTGTTTGCGTACTTTTTAAAAAATATCTTTGTATACGAGAGTGTTACATTTTTTTTACAAAAGTATTGAGTATTACGAGAGAAATTTATATTACTAAGTTACGGTAAGTGCATACAATCCAATTTAAAAAAAAAAATACAGAATTAGCGTTACTGTATGTAAATAATGGCTTTTGTATTTTTTATTAATTTTTGTTCTGGCCTTTATTTTTTATATCTTTAAAAAATCGTTTAAAATGTAGTCGCAGTCATTAGCAAACAATATATGTTTGCCTAATTTCCATGTGCTCTTTTATTTTTTACAAAAAAAATAAATTTACGTGCCAGTATTTTGTATTATTTTTTTTTATAAAACTATCTTTTCTTATTCTTACTGAGAAGATGGGCATCGCAGTCAAGATCCATCGCAATCGCTCACTCAACTCAGGCAATTTCAAGGGTTAATGCGCTGGGGCGGGTACCTCGGGGGTTGTGTGGAAAAGCTGCCATCTATTTAAACTATATTGATTTTAAAACAACTAAATAGATTGCAAAAAAAATAATTAAATCAAATATCTAAACACTAATATAATACATTTTTTGCCATCACACACACACTATTTTGCCTGTGGTTTATGTGTTACTTCTGCATTGCTATTCTATATGGCACTTCTACTATTTATAATTGATGTACTTTCAGTATAAAGGAAATTGCACTGGGGGGAATTCTCGGGCGAAGCCGGGTCATTCATCTAGTATATTTATAAAAGGAATCTCCTGATCGTGCAACTAAAAGTTGCTATTGGCTTGCGTCATCCGTCGGAATAAATGTCAACTAATGGATATTCCGAAAGATGGCACAAGTCATCAGCAACTTCTATTTGCACGATCAGGCGATACCTTTATATTAAATTTTGAACCTAATCTCAGTACAATTTCACTATTTTTTTCATATTTCTAAAAGCTATAAATACGCATTCAAAACAAGGTTAGAGTTTTGGTTTAGATATACAAGATGTGTGACAAGCTAAAGTTTGGTTTGATTTGATTAGACAGTTTAAATATTTTCGAATATATCCGTCGTATGTGTGACGGGCTCTAGTGATTGTTATTCATCGAAACGTTGGGAAAATAGTTTGAAAAGAAAAAAAAATGTTTTTGCATGTTTTTTTTTTTTAATTCAAAAAATGAAACTATTTTTAGCGCGATTTTTTTAATCTTAAATAAATAAAAAGTTTACTACTGCCCTTACTGCAATGGACAATATTGGGAAGGCTTGGCTCATCAATGGAGAGCCCTCCCAGCGGTTTTGCCAGTTAAATCAATCATAAGGGTACGATATTGCATGCATTTAATACTGTATTTGGTTATTCTGCTTATGAACTCGGAACTTGGAAGCAATTCTTGGTGAAGGGATTCAATGAATCTATGAACATATATAAGATTAGTGGACAATAGAAATATGTATACACTCACGGACAAAACTTAAGGAAGTGGGAAGTCTTTGATATCGCGAGTCGTCTATTTATTATTATTATTTTTAAGGAGACAGAGGCAATTTCGTTCAATCTTGGTTATCTTGTGTATCTTCAATAAAGGTCACTGTAATATCTTTCAGA